CTTCCATCAGCACAACAGATCGCATGCTGGCAAATCACATACGATCATTTCATATTACACATGTTTTGATTTTAAAAAGACAGATCTTTACACACACAAAACATTTGCAACAGAAGATCATTCCTGTGAACATTATTATTGAAAAGCAGCAATCTATGCTTCCAGAAAATCTAATTCATTCTGACACATTCAATCTTTTCTCCGTTGTGGTTTCAAGCAAAGTTCGCTTGAACCAATCAAATATGTTTTTAATATGATCAGCATAGAAATTAGGGATAAAGAGGGACAACGGAATATGGGTCCAAGAATGAATACTGGTGACCTATGATTTCATGAAGCAGCTGTCAGACATTAGAAGACTTGGAAACATTACTTACCTCCACGTCCTCCTGATTGATCAGTGCCCTGGTAGTCCTGTGTTCTATATAGCTAAAACATACACACAATAGCGCCTCCGTCCTCACTGAACGCTCTTCCTGTTGTCATCATAACATCCTCCTTCTCTATAGCCAGACACATATGTTCAGCGCCACCTACTGGTGGCTGGAGAAATGGCTACACTGCCATTGCATAGTTGTTAAAGTGACATTAAAGTCCAAAAAATGTTTCCCTCCCCCCACACTTACCTTCAATGATGTCTCTTAATCCGATTTCCTCTTCTTTCCTGTCCTTTTCAGCCTTCTCTCCAGCGCTGCGTCGGCTCTCCGATCCAGCGCTGACTCCTCTGTCCTTGCTGGCACTTCCTGTCCCACGGTGTCTGCATGCGGGTGCATGCGGTCCATAGACTTACCTTGTGTCTCTCCTCGTCTACCGGCCGAAATTCCGAACTGCGCATGCGCCCGCCCCAAGATGCTTTGCGGCCGCCCGAGCAGTTTCGGATTTTCAGACGGGAGCGCGCGGCGAAGACAGTGGAAAAATTAAACCGCTTTTAAAGCGTTTTTTTTTAAAACAACGTTTTGCATATATCTACTGCTTACTAGCAGTAGATATATGCAAAAAAAAAAAAACGGAGGGTTTAGAAACCTTTTAAAGTCATATGAAACCCTTCAGGTCTATTCACAAAAGGGCGAAGAGTTTGGAGAAGACAGGAGAAGTGAACAATCTAGGCCAACACAGCTGAACTGGAAAGTGAGCTGAATTGGAGAATTTTTCCATATCAGATATGTTGTCCTAGATTGTTCACTTCTCCTGTCTTCTCCAAACTCTGTTTTTTTTTCTTTATTCAACACTGTAGAATCACACTTAATGAGCTTTTTTTGGTTTTAAATTGCCCCTTTTTATTAATTTTAACCAGGTTTCATAAGCGGGCCCCTCCCATGCCCTTTTGCTTCCTGATCGGTTTTTGCAATCATGATAGGCCTGAAAATGACTTAAAACCCCAGAGAGTTATATATTTCCTGAAAGCAAAGACCATGTAAAATAAAATGGCAGTAGTTACAATTTTTTACGTCGCATGATATTAGTGCAACTGTTTAGCAAACCAAAAATTGTGGTATGAAATACACTGAAGTTCATTTTTGTGCGCAAAAACACAATGGGGTCTATTCACTAAGCTGCCGAGGGCAGCTGAGTGAACAACCGACCCCAAGTGAAGTGAGCCGAACCTTGTTCGGCTATTCACTTCAGGCTTGCGCGTCTGATTTCATGTTCGGCCGACCCGAAGTGCAGGAGTTCGACTCAGCCGATTCAACACCTTTCACCTCGGCTCAGTCGAGCCGATGCATATGTCTGAGCTCGGCCAACTTCGGAAACTGCACGGGCTATAGTGAATAGCACGTACAGCAGCCCTTCGGTTCTACTGAACCGAAGGGGTCCTGAGGCCGGAGCTAGCCGAAGGATCAGCCGAAGCTACGGCTAGATCCTTCGGCAGCTTAGTGAATAGACCCCAATATAATACCAAATTGATCTGTACAATATAAAAGATGAGGTTGTGCTGAGTAAATAGATACCCAACTTGCCAGGGTTAATAATTGTGTGCACCTGTGAAAGTACAGTACCCTAAATTATCCATAGAGGGCATTTTAAAAGCTCCTACAGGTCATCAGTTTAGAGTTAACTGTGAATACTGGCCATAGATTTATTACTCTCACTCTTACACACACGGCAATACCTAATATGTGTACAGCAATCATCATTTTTGAACATAGAAGCACCCAACGCATTTTTTTGCCATTTTTAATTTCATTTTTGTACATGTTAAAAAGAACTGCATGCATATGAAATACTTGGGAAGTTTTCAATCTTGAGGACCGTTATACAGGCAGGCATGGGTGGCACTGGCAAGTGAGCGTCATCATTGCAGCATGAAGCTGTGACCTGGGGGTGGCGGGTGAATGTTGTGACTTACAGGGTTATTCACAAAAGGGTGAAGAGTTTGGAGAAGACAGGAGAAGGGAACAATCTAGGACAACATAGCTGAACTGGAAAGTGAGCTGAATTGGAGAATTTTTCCAAGTCAGCTATGCTGTCCTGGATTGTTCACTTCTCCTGTCTATCCCAAACTCTTCACCATTTAGTGAATAACCCTGTCAGTTTACCTTTTCATTTTTTGTAAAAAGGTGAAAAAACCGTTTCAAGTGTACCTAAACTCTAAGACACAAATGTATTGCAGATTACCAGTCTTTAGATGTGTTTTTCTCTTTTCCAGCATGTCTGACATCTCCATTACCTGGTGGGTTGATTGCACTAGTAGTTTACATGAGAAAGAGAAGGTTGATTCTGTTGTCAGTTCAGCTAATGGAAGTGATAAGGACATTGCCTTTCTGGCAAAAACAAATATTTTCTGTACTTGCTGAAAAATTGTATTTTCCGGAAAATGTAAACTAATGCAGTGGCCACATCTAAGGACTGGTACGCTGCAATAATATAAAAGTTGTGTTTAGGTTTAAACTTTTAAGATCTGTGTTTAATGCTCCCAAACTGGCAATGAATTGTACTTTAAAGGCTTCAGCAAACCTTGCTTTGTAAAGGCTCACTGAATACACTGCTCTTATACAAGCTGAAGTTCATGCGAGCAAAGCCAAGGTGACTCAGCATTACAGGCAAGCAATAAGACTTTTCAAAAGCAGGATAACAATGGCAGCCCCTGTATTTCTTTCATGCCAGGTTTACTTTAAGGGCCGTCTTGTGGGATGCCTTTAAGGGCCATATTTCTTTCATGACAGGGCCGTCTCGTTGGATGAAGGCACTGGATCGAAAAAGCAAGTCTCCCTGCGATCTGGGGCGTGGTTATGCCATTCATTTTAATGGCACTGCAGACACAGCCGCCCGCAGTGGGATCGCCTGCACTGGAACACACGGTAGCGTAATGCCCTGCATTCCAGTGTAATGTAGTGCATGCACAATTTTTTGCGAGCGCACCCAAGTGTGCTGTAGAGAAAACAAGGCTCTTCCTTGTGAAGCAAAAAAAAGAGTAAATGCCACAGTATAGCTGGGAGTCCTGGTGGAGGGATGTTCCCCAGAGTCACATTGTGCCAATGAGAGGTATAGCAGGCAGTGTGTGATAAATGTGAGACCATACACAAGTAAAAAATCAGTTTTGGGTTGACAACCTTTAGATAATTTATTACCAACGTGGTCTCTATTGCTCCTGGGCTGTAAGGGTTTTGCGTGATACAGCATGAATGATAATGGTGCTTGTTGATGTTGAGTTACCCTATAACTGTGTCCAGTGTAAGGTAGTATACAGTAAATGAAAATGACTATAATCCCTTTACTTTAATGACACTTAGGATTCACAGCTTGAACATTAACCATTAATGAACAGATTACATCTGTCCTAACAAATCTGTCTTGTGCAGGAAGGGTTGGTTAGAATGTCTCCTGGGAGTTCAATACCAAGACATTAAGGAGACACCGCTTCCTTCTCCACAGCACATCCAGGTATAGAGGAGCATATGACCCATTCCCCAGCTACAGTGCCAATCACTGGCAAAGAGAGATATTACTGCTCTCATGTGTTGCTGACACTGCTGATTTTACCACCAACTGCATGAAAAGAAGGAGCAGTGAGAGAGCACAGGCGTGATGAGTATAATGTGTTCAGGGGGATTCCCTTTACAGAGACAATGTCACTTTGCCCTGCAGGGCCAAGGTGGCAGTGTCTGTGTAAAGCTGTTACTGAGATTACTAAAATAGAAGACAAAGCAGCACATATACACTATCAAAAAAGGTAAATAAGTAAATTAGTTATTTATTCATTATCCAGTTATTTATTCATATCCCAGTGGCGATTCCAAATGTTTTTTTTTGCCAAAACGTTAAAATACAGTTGAAGAACAAGACCCATTTTTCCCCGATTGGTTTATTGCAAGTAAATGGCTACATCCTCTTCAAGAAATCATTGCAGCTTCGAAATAATAATTTAGTATCTGTCAAGTACATGTGCTAATAGTTCATGTAAGAGGAAATGCAACATGAACATACAATAAGTTCTGAAGGTCTTTGCTCTAAAAGTCATTGTAGCAACAACATATTAATGTCACAGGTTGAAAAGAACCACTCACTTCTGAGATCACCACCTTTGTGAAACATACAAGGTGGAATTATTATATATGTCAGAAAGCCAAATAACAGCAGGCATACAGGCAACGATTAACTTCAGCTAAGAGTCAGGAAAGCTGGCACATCAGAATCGCTCTGGTCTGATGCTCTCTCTGGCTACAAGTGGCACCATGCATGATACTAATAGGTAGTAACAGGTTGAATCACTTGCATCTTTTCTTCTCTTCCCCTTACAAATCATCACTACCTTGCAAAGAGGAGGATGACCCTTGATCGATACACCTTTAACGTTCTGCTGAATGTCTGGGATGCTGGTCTGAAGCTGAGATAGCGTCTATGTGCTGTAAAAGGCAAAGGATAGGGCTGGTCATTCAGCAATAAGAAATAATGGGGAGTTTTGAAACATGAAATTTGCACAGCTTTATAGTGCTGCCCTCTGTTATGATTTGTAATAGATTTTTCACTTGGAGATGCTTTCAACACCTTTGCCATTAGTCTACGTTTTTCTTTTTTAGGTGTCTGGTTCTCTTTAAGCAGCTGGAAGGGTACACGAGACAAGTTGGTTATGTTTTAATTAAATCAGTCAGTATATTATGTGCAACCGTGGGTTAGACGGTGTAGGATTAATAGTGACATAGTTTATTGTTCTTGTAAAAAATGAAAAATGTTAAATACAACAATGATTATGGAGTGGAGTTATTTTCAGTGTCCATTATTATCTGCTTCACTAATTTCTTCCTTCTCAGAATTCTTTGATCCATACTTCATCTGTAGCGAGCGTCCAAGGTAGCGCCAGTATTCTTTTCTAATGGTATCTTTTTCTGTGGAAAGAAGTTCACAAAGCTGAAAGAGAGAGACGAGATCATGTAAGTGTTATTCTTCAATCAG